AGCGGCCACTGCACTCCAGTCTGGGCAACCGAGTGAGACTCCAACTCAAAAAAAATAAAAGAATATGAAGGTAATCAATTATTGGTAACTACCTTCTACCAAAATAATTACTTGCAAGCAATCATGCATGGAGGAAGAAAGAACAAGCATCTTAAGATTTTTATAACATAAGCTCAGTTTAAAAACTATCTCCTGAGCCGGGCTCGGTGGCTCAGCCTGTAATCCCGCGCCTTTGGGAGGCTGAGGCGAGTGGATTGCCTGAGCCCGCGGGTTCGAGACCCGCCTGGGCAGCGAGACCTCATCTCTACAATAAATCAAAAAATCAGCTGGGCGTGGCAGCGCGTGCCTGTAATTCCGGCTATTCGGAAGGCTGAGGCGGAAGGATCGCCGGAGCCCAGCAGGTCGAGGCTGCGGTGGCTGGGAGCGACCACTGCACTCCAGTCTGGGCGACAGAGTGAGACTCCAACTCAAAAATAAAACAAAACAAAATAAAACTATCTCCTGTTGATCAGCTGATGCATATGGTTTTGTTTCTATTTTCCAAAATATCATGTGATTGCAGTTGCAGGTCTAGAATAAACAACTGTGGCATATAAATTATTTTGAGCCAGGCTCGGTGGCTCAACCTGTAATCCCGCGCCTTTGGGAGGCTAAGGTGAGTGGATTGACTGAGCCCACGGGTCGAGACCCGCCCGGGCAATTTAGCAAGACCTCATCTCTACAATAAATCAAAAAATTAGCCAGGTGTGTTAGCACGCGCCTGTAGTTCCAGCTACTCGGAAGGCTGAGGCGAAAGGATCGCCGGAGCCCAGCAGGTCGAGGTTGTGGTGGCTGGGAGCAGCCACTGCACTCCAGTCTGGGCGGCAGAGTGAGACTCCAACTCAAAAAAAAAAAATTATTTTGAACTGAATGCATTTAAGTTCCTGAAACCCCTCGTCTACTAAAATCAAAGGCTCTGAAAAGAATTCAGCTGTCATTTTTCCTCTCTAGGAACAACTCTAATCTCAGAATGAGACAGACATTGTCAAAAAAATATCCTATCTCCCAAAATTTCTAAGGATTCATTTATCTTTCTTTTTTCTTTCTTTTTTTTTTTTTGAGTTGGAGTCTCACTCTTGTTGCCCAGGCTGGAATGCAGCAGCATGCTCATGGCCACCGCAGCCTTTACCTTCTGGAC